AGTGCGTCAAGGGGTTCTGCACAAAGAAGCCAGGCAAGTATGGGCTGGTACAGAGGGCCAGGTATGCAAGGCGTGCAGCTGTGGGACAGTCCATCAGATGAGGGGTCCCAGGTGTACAGCTATGGGCTGGTACATCGGGTCAGGTGTGCAAGGAGATTCATGCATCCCAGAACCTTTTATTTTCTTGGTATCTTAATAATGTTCCCATTTTGTGATGTAATTTTGATAGAATTAAAATCAAACATTCCCAAGGACATAAGTCATTATACTTGTCGTGAATTATGTTCATTGCCTGACCCAAGTATTGGGTGTGTGGGCCTCAATGCCACTGTCTTGCCCCTGGCAGATGGCTATGCCATCAACACTCACCTGTAAACTTGCATGCAAACACCCGCGATTGAGGCCACAGGACACTCACAGGTGTTTGCGTGAGAACTTACAGGTATTTCGTACTAAAATAGCACAGGTTGCAAGACTGTGCCCCTCAATTTATATATTTATATTATACTGAAGCTTATTGGAGAAGAGTAAGAGAATTGAAAATCATCTTATGGGAAGTAAAAAAATGAAATACTAAGAAACAAACCAAAAGAATGGATGAAAGTTCACGTTTCAGAAACTGAGATATATGTTAACAAATATTTTCATTTAGAAAGACCACATCTTTGTATCTAAATAGCCACAAAGAGTGCCTGGATATCTTCCTTGTGGTTGAGTGGCAAAGACTCAGGCTACAGATGCTTTGATAATAAACTCTTTTTCATTAGCACTGCAGGGATTTATGCATTATTAAAATATGACTAATTTGTAAATGCCCTGACAGCATTGAAACACTGCCTTGAGTGTGGACCAAGTTAGTTGCCATTTGGAATAACACTAGAATTCAGCAAAGAATACACATCAGAGTAATTTGAGATGGAATCACTTGCCACCCTGAGAATGAACCTAAAACACTACAGACAAACTAATTCATTTGGGAAATAAAAATGTAATCACCCTCTCTTGCATCTGTTGCAACAATTCTATCTGCAGCAAAACTTACACTTGTATCAAGTGTGTGAAGTATTATTGCTGTCATTACTTTTATAATTATCTATACAAAAAAATTTTATCCATAAGATATTCTTTCATTTTGAAATATTTCATTTTTTTCATACCACGGAAACTGATTTTGGTAGGCTTTGTGACAAAGAAGTATACAATCATTCAAAAAATATTATCCCAAGAGTAGAAATAAAGAGAAATCAATACAGGGAAATAGCTGGAAAGGTAACTGTGATTATCTGTGACACCGGTTTTTTTCTTTATGCTTTACTGTATTTTCCACATTGTCTAAAACAAAGATGCCTAAGTTTCATCGTTGAAAACACAAATATGATTAATTTTTAAAGAGGCTGGGATAAAACAAGATAAGAATGTCAATGCATTTAAAATAATGTGAAACCTAATGTGCACCTCAGAAATGGTAAATGCACAGATCCTTCCAGACGTTGCATGAATTCAGATCCAACTACTTTCCGGGGCTACATAACCACAAATCGCCTAAAGATAGGTTACCCTTCTGCAGCACAATGAACTTCCTTTGCCAACTCGAGTGCAAAGCATCTTTAACTGAATTCAATTTCAGGAACATAAAGTATCACCGATATACAATGAAACCATCCAACAAATGGCTTCACAATGCCTAGTGCTAACTATGAAAAAACAAAGAGTATATCATTCTATTTTTCCATAGCTCATATTTTTAAACCATTACTGATTTCCAAAATATACACCTGTTATCTAAACTTCTCTTGCTGGGTCAAGCTTTGCCAAACAGGAAGCTGAGGGTTGGGTTATTTTTAAAGTTTTATAACAGGCTCACAACACTCCCTCTCAAACTTTCTGAGCCTAATCCCGCCAAATTTCCTAGGTGAAATTCCTATCTTCTCCCTGCAGTGGTATCCGCCTGAAATGCGCACACACACACGTGTGCTGAAACCCAGAGATCCTCAGAGCTTCCCTCGGGCTGCGTGCTTTCCGGGGTGCCTGTTAACATGACGGTCCCTTGTCACGGACTATTTCATTTAATCCTCGCAACAGCTGAAAGGGGAAGAAATTATTACATCAACTTTAAAGATGAGAAAACTAGGTTCTGACATAACCCTGGCTCAGGGTTACTCAGCTAAGCAAGGCCAGTCCACCTTTTTTTTTTTCAAGGTCATTTATTATCAAGTACCTACAATATAGGTAGGTCATTTATTATCAAGTACCTACAATATACCACATGCTGCTCTGAACAGAAAATACAGTCCATGCTCCTGGGGTCACCAGACATTTGGAACATACTTTATAATAAAAAATTATATGTTGCTTAGCAGAAATTCAAATTTAACTGGGTATCCTGGATTTTTATTTGTTAAGTCTGGTGATCCCTCATGTCCTTGTCCACCATGCCATCTGCCATGCTAGAGTGACTCAGTGGCTAGTCCAACTGCTCCCAGCAGGGTTGAGCTGGGACGGTGATGACATAAGATGGATAGAGACCTCCAGGGTCTCTGGAATAAAGACTCCAGGGACACTGGAATGGGGATAGTCCACAGATATTGGGGTGGAGATCCCCAGAGAAAGTGGGAGATAGAGCTCCCGGGACATTCAGATGGAGAGATCTAGGTACCCTGGGATCGAGACCTATAAGGACACTGGGATGGAGACCTCCAGGGACAGGTGCCCCTTGGGAACAAATCCCAGCTACTATCTCCAGCCAGGACAGGAGCACAAAGCATCTCTTCACAATCCCCAACCTGTTCTGTGGCTTCTCACATCCCTTAGGAAAATCTTGAGTCACTGACCAAAAGCCAACCACCTACAGAGTATGAGGTGCTGGACTGTTCACACAGTACTGGGGACCTCCAGGGACAACCGAGAGTCTTTTGAGTCAAGCTCATGGAAAAACCTTTTCCAAAGTTCTTTAGAGATGAACGAGGGGTGCAAGACCCAGCAGTACTAGCTGGGATCATGTTTGTTCCTGTTCCCCTAGCAAGGGGCCTCTTCCCCTTGGCTCGTTTCCCCCAAGGGTGACCTTTGAAGGATTCAGCCTGCCACTCCCTCATGCCCTTGGCCAAATGCAGGTCTCTGGAGTAAATCCACTACAGTCCCAACCCCCTTTTCCCTAAGTGTCCACCCAGATGCAGAGGGCACTTACACAAATCATGTCCTGGACATAAATATATTGAATCAACAATTATCCTTGAGCATCTACAAAGAGGGAAAATTTGTGCTATATTCTAGAGAAATAAAGAAAAGACGGCCTATCTCCTACCTTTTGGCAAGTCATCATCTGATAAGGGGATGACAACTGTCAAGAAATCACTCAATTCCCAGCACTGAGTGTGGTAATAAAAGTAGAAGTCATGTGTGCGGAAAGGACCACAGGGCAGGGAATGTGCCAGCCCAGGGGCAAGGGAGGTCCCTTGACCCAGGTTCCCATTACAAGTTGGAGTTTACCAGGCAGAAAATTTGGGGTGGAGATAGGTGAGTATGTAGCTATTATTGAAGAAAAAAGAAAAGGGATCCTCAAATTCCAGAAGCAAAAAAGAATTATTTGTGAGCAACACAAATAATTCCACATGCCTGAACTATGTGAGAAGAAAAAAGGGTGAGTCTGTAAGAGATGGGGGACCACAGGCAGAGGGGTTGCTGGGCCACACCAGAGAGACAGTGTTCATCCAATAAGAACTACCAAAGGTGGGCATTTTAAACAGTTGATGTTGGTGGTGATGTGCAGAAGAAAAAGAAAATCTGGAAACCAGGAGACCAACCTAAAACCTCTACAGCATACAGCCCAAACTCTGAGTGATGAAATTTGAGAGAAGGCAGCATCAGAACCACACACCCCCCCAGTACTCCCAATGGATCACAGTCAGGAAACGTGTGGCCCAACCAACTCTATCCAATCCATACTCACTGTCTCCCCATAAACATCAAAACAGGCGTGATCAATGGGCGTTGATCAGTGACACGAACTAAGCCAACTTCTATCTATACATTTAAACTTACAACCACACATCCTAATGTCTTCAAGTGTTAGGGGGATGGACAAGGCCTCCGTAAGATCTGAGAGCAAAAGTCATGACTCTAGAAACTATTCAATGCCCGTCTAGAGTCTGCAGAGAGTAAGCTGGGTGCAGCTTCACTCCGGGTTACGTGGGAACTGGAAGGAACTGTAGCTAGGAAATGTGTATTTTATAAGCTAGTAAATTTGACTAGAAAAGACATGAGCATTCCACCGCCCAGGGTATCTTCCTTAGATGCCAGAAGAATCCAAATCTACAAATGGCCTCTTTCTTCAAGTTTAATGTCAATTTTCCTAAGAGAGACATATAAGGGTAAATAACTCAAAATCTGTCCCAACGGTTTTGCAGTGGCCTCATCGCCAAATGAGGACGCAGGTGACCTGGCTCTAGAAGCACACACCCTGAAGAGACAGAAATGAAAATGATGACTTCCTTGAATTTTCAAGTCACTGACAACTGACCTAAGCAAGGTCACAAGGAAAGGAGATGAAGGGTCTCTTGACCTCTAGAAATCTACTGAAGAAGGTGGTGAGAAGCTAAGAATATGGTTTCTGGAGTCAAACTGCCTGGGTTTGAGACCCGGGTCCATCTTTTGCCCAGGCGCATGCCCCTGGGCAATTTATTTCTCTCCTTTCTTCCTTAGATTCCTCACCTCTACAACAGGGATGTTGACAGGACCTCCCCCTCAGGTTGGAATGGAGAAGCAAACGAGTTAATTGATGTTAGCACAGTTCCTGCCACCCGGGGAGGTCCCATCAACGCGACAGAGCAGTCGTCATCCCACTCATGGAAGGACACTGCAGGACACTCCTACCACACTGCACACTTAGAAGAAACGATGCTATTCGGCACTCTTCCACTCTGGCAGAGAAGCTCACGTGTAACCGCGCAGATGTAAAATGAAGTCCGAAAACATCTTTGGTGGCAAAAGGTAGTATGTCTCACCTTGCTCCTACAACCAGTTCTTTCTGTCCTGGGTCAAATGTTAACTGCGAGAAATCCACAGCATTCTTCGCCCGGAACTCTCGTAACCAGGGGCCGATTTCTAAACAGAAAAAAAAAATAATAATAAATGAAAAGATAAAAATGAATGATTTTTTTTTTCCTCTGGGGACCGCAGAGAGTGCACATCAGGTAGCAAACGTTACATTTCAGGGAGGATCTGGGGGTCCCCTGACCTGCTTGTTTAGGGGCCACTGGGGGTTTCCGTCAAGATGCCGCCTGATCCACGCTAAGCATGTGTGAGACACGGAGGGCGTGACCACCCGATAAAGAGCAAGGGAGGGGGCAGTGCTCGGAGGGGATTTGCAAGCCACATGTGCATTTTCCTTTTGGTTCTAGGCTGGGCAGAAAATAACACAGCATTCATGGGATTCGCCAGAGGAACACTGAACGCGAACAGGGCCATTTCCTGTGCAACTGGGCTGGAAAGGGCTGAAGATGGAAAAATTACCCAAGCCCTCCTCGGGAGCGAGGGCCAAGCACACGAGCACCATTTGCCTTCTTTCAAAACAGACATCCCATTTCCCTCGTCCTGTGGGTTTCTATTCTGGCCCCATGATTAGACTTGTTAAACACATTCAGTCCTTTCTAGATGAGAAACCCACAGTTACTTCTAGGCCTCATTTGCATTTTTTTCTAAAGGAAATCAGGAAATAGCCACTCTATAGAGACAGGTTTTAACAAGCACTGTTAACTCCTATCAGACGGCCTCTGGCCCATGGTCCAATTATTACAAAACGACACTATTTGAAGAAAGACAGAATGCTACTTCATGAGGCATTTTTGCAACTCTCAATAGCTTATTTCTGACACCAAAAAAATATTCAGTGAGTTGCCTGCCAATTGTGGGACACCTTACCATTATACTGGACAATTAACCATGTTATCTGATTGTGTGTTTTTTCTTGGATTTAGTATTTTGAATAATATCACACTGCCTAAACAAGAAGGTGGCAGCTATCGAATCAATAGAGTTATTGGTTTGAGGGAAAAATGTGTAGAACAGGGAATGATCTCTTTTGACAAACACTGATGCTAGACACAGATCTAACAGGGAAACATGCTCCTGTCCCACACCACGTCCTGTAGAAACAGCTTTGCAGATGTGAACAGGATGGATCACTTTCAAGGAATCGCTCTGAATAATAAATGTGTATTTTCTCTACCATCAGTTATTGGGGGGGAAAATGATATCATTTTTTGTTTAAAGGAAACCAGAGCTGAGCTACATAGAAACCTGACATTTTAATGTGTATTTTATCTTGATTCGTTTTTAGTATTTTACATAAATGTCTTCATTTTTATGGGCAAGTCAATTAAAACAAAATATTTATAGCAAAGCATATATGAGGCATTAGAGCTATAAAAAGTAATTAATAAATGATCCTTCTAGGAGTTTATGATTCAGTTAGAGGAACGGCACGAATACCTTCTTTAAACATAGTATCTATCAATACAAGGTGTTTACAGGTGTTGCAGGATTGTAGGAATTATTCATTCACAGAAAGGAGATATGACTGTGAGTTTAGATAAAAGAAAAGGAAAGATTTGACCGGACTGACGAGACACATGTCCTAGGGGGACAAAGCATGAGGGATGTGGGAGACCATGGCACCCCGTGGCCCCAAGTGGCACAGCTCATCGTCACATATGTGTCCATCCCTGGGGACCACAGAACCTGCAGGGTCTCTGTCTGCGTCACCCCCTGCAGTGCCCACAGCACAGAGCACAGCGCCTTGACTGCGACAGGCAATGATGGCCGTGAAATGAAAGAGTAATAATGACTAAGTGAATTCCAGAGAGGACAAATTAAAAAGGAAAGGAAGCAGGAAGGAAAGGCAAAGAGAAAAGGAAAAAAAAAAAATAACAGCAACTTAAGAAACTATCAGGAAAGGAAACTGAAAGGTGTATTGAAATATTAGCTGTACAAAAATTTGCTTATAGGTTAAAAAGTTTGGACTTGATCTCATCTGTGATAGCAAAGCTTTGGAAAGTTTCCAGGCAAGCCTTTGGTCCATGTAGCCAACATCTTGGGAATCCCAATGAACCACTGATAAGCAGGATGGGTTGGAAAGAGTAGAGAATAGAGGGAAGCATACTAGATTAAAAAGAAACCCTAAAAACCATCGCATTCAGGTGATGGCTATGCAAATGGAAAGGGAGGGTCTGATATGCCATATCACTGACTGGAGCTGAAGTCAAGGGTAACAAGTGAAAGGGAAGGAAGTAGTTTCCAGATTAAATGAAGGAAACAGAGATGACTGAGATGAAGGTGTCAGGAGATTGGGGCAGATTTAGAGAAAGACAATGGGTTCAAGTGCAGCTACGAGAATGCTACTGTGAAAAATTCCCAAGGGCACGTTAGCTCCAGAGCCACTGTTAAGCGTCACTAAGATGCTGAAGTGCCCACAAAGACATTCTGGTTCAAAAGCTTCATCATTCAGATGGGAAATGCGTGACCAGGGAGCCCCGTGGGGACGAGAGTCCAGGGCTCCTGAGCATCTGTTGAGGGCTCTGTCTCCAAAACTCGCAGCCACCAGGGCTGGGCACACGTGCAACCTGCAGACCGTGTTGGGGCAGAACAGAGGGCTGAGGGCTGACTTTCCTGATAGGGGAAGGAAAGATGAGCCATGCGTGGGCAGAGAAGACCATGAAAAGACAGCCCAACACAGTCAGGTCCCTCATTTCCTACGCACTCCTCTTTCTTTAGACAGTGGCCAACAGGAACCAGGATGAAGAGACACATTTCAGGTTTTAGTTCCTATACTGAACAACAGGAAGGACGTTATACTACTTCCTAAAATGCCCTTGAGTAATAAAAGGAGCCGTGTACAGAGGGGGAAATGAATTAACAGCATATAGTTCTGTCAATACTGTTTGATTTTCCTTATTTAAAATTCTAATGAACTTCCCCAATAAAACTGTATGTTTTTATGGTTAAACACTAGATCAAAATTGGGTCATCTGCATATCCTCTTCTTTTTGATTTTCCTCCAGAAGGTCTGCCTATCTCACCTTTGCATATTACATGGACTTCTGTAGAAATTACTGATACCATGAGGGCCCTGGGAGAAAATCTCTGCACCAACCCATCTTTCTAATTAAAAACACACCTGCATCAGTATCCAGCTACGTAGATCAGAGTGGCGACTTTCTATCCGCTTGTTAAAGACCAGTCCTCTCAACTTTGCTTTAACCCCGTATCTTCTCTTCTCTTTAAATCCTTTCTTAAAGTAACCATTTCTTTCCTCTAAGATCTCAAATGTTAGCAAGTCCCTTTCCCTCTGCCTGTGGGAATATGCATGTTCCTCATTTTTAAAATCCTTTTAAAATATATTTTTAGTATACTCGTTGTTATTACAAACACCCAAACAAAATGCATAATCAACTCCCAAATACAAGAGATCGATAAAAATAACAAACTCAGTTTTAAATGTAAGTTTTACCAAATCCTTAAGAAACATATAATCCTGACTTTACAGAAGTTATTTCAGATACAGAAGTAAAACTTCCTAACTCAGTTTGAAGTTATTATAATCTTGATAATCTTAATACCAAGGCTAGGCAAGAAAATGATGAGAAGGCAAACTCACAGGTCTACCTCATTTATTAATGTGGCTAAAAACATTCCTAAGGAAATGCATGTATTATCAAATGACCTCTCTCTCTCTCTCTCTCTCTCTCTCTCTCTCTCTCACACACACACACACACACACACACATACAAACATACTATATTTCACAAGGGAGAGGGCTTATTCCAGAAACACAAGGGTAGCTCAGCAAGCTTAACATCAGAAGAATCTATCAGTACGATTCACCATGACAACTACAGATTTCAATAGCAGCAAGAAGAAATTATTGATACTGCTTTCTGAGGAACTAGAAAATGAACCATTATGGAAACAGAAGAGCTGGCATAGTTCAGGGTCAAGTCAGGCAGGAGAGGAAAGAGTCTAAACACAGTGGCCAGAGAAAGGTTGGGGAGAGTGAGGAGGCAGGAAGGGCCCACAGCAGGTGGTAAGTTGAGGGCACACAATTTTCAATAATATCAGTTTGCTCATTTGCCCCAAATAGCGTGTTTACCTCTTTCCTCCTATCCCCCTCCTGGTACTGCTGAAGTAACCTTGTAATGAAATGTCACTTAAATGTGGCAGCCAGTATGGCTATTGTCTGGGAGTTAAGTAATAATATAATACCTGCAATTCCGATTGGTAATTTGTAACATTTGATATTAACTATTCTAGATAATCTAATCTTTATACAGACATGATTATTTAACCGTAGCCTCCAGCAATGATTTTCTGTTGCAAAATGAGGTGCATTGATTCATATTTGCCTTCTCTTACTGCTACATATATTCCCATGCATTTGTTTTACCAAAAGTGAAATGAGTCCATTTTTAAAGGAACCCAGTCTTACAGCTTCAAGAAATAATTACTTTTATGAACGTGAGTCAGTATTAATAAATTTAGGCCAAAGTAATTAGCAAATATAAACTAGAGATTAGCTGAGGGGATTCACGTTAGTGCCCCCTCCCAAATTTTAAAAAAAAAGACGAAGAAGAAATGAAAATAAAAAGAAAGAAAAAAGGGGTAATTGTCACTATATTTCTTAAAAAGAAAATATTCTATAGGTAACTAAAGTAATGGGGTTTGCAAGCCAAGAAAGCCTTCGAGAGCCTAATAAATAAGAACCACGCAGAGATTCTTGTCCAAAACACGACAGTCATTCAAAGAGCTGGACTGACGGCTCTTCCACATGCTGCAGCCTGAGGCACCCACTGTGCAGAAACCCACCTGGCTGTAGGCAAACACTGCGCAGCGAAACCTCCCAGGCAGGGTAAAGGGTGGTTCCAGGCAGCCCCAGTTTAATTCCTTGTGCCTTCAAACTTCAGTCAATCAAGGAGCTAAGAGAGCTGGATTTCAAAACCTCTAGAGGGACTTGAAACCCACATTGGAAACCGAGCCGCGCTCAGTAAAGACTGTTCAAAAGCACAGTCGGCAAGATACGTAACATGCATAATATATGCAACATACGTAAT